TCCCAAACCGAAGATATATAGATAACTAGAGCCTTAAAGTCTGCCTAAAATTTAGAAAAGGAAGGAAGACAAGCAACCTATCCTAGATATTTTATAAAACCCAAGACCTTGGGTAGAGATGAGGACAGGGCTCTAGAGGAAAGGCAAGAAAGGCACTCTGTGAAATTTGCCCATTTATCCTATCCCACTCTAATCTCACCTTTGCTCTGTATTTTTTTTAACTCTTTTGTTCCTGTGGGTTACATTATTTTGACTGTGTTTACTAAATTAAATCCAAAAAATGTTTACTTAGTAATTATTATATGAAAATCATTATGATAGAAAATGTATTCATTTGGTCCACAAATATGCATTCATTGGCTTCTATGTGCCAGACTAAATGCTAGGTGCTAGGTATTGGAAATACAGAGAAAATTAAAATGTTTTTTGCCCACAAGCAGCTCATGGTAGTGAGGGAATTAGTCATGTATGAATAATTACATCTCAATATGCTAAGTGCAGTAACAAAAGTATAAGGAACAATTGTGGTGAAGATTGGGAGCAATTTTTTTTAAAGCTTTTTTTTTTAAAAAAGATTTTATTTATTTATTGAACAGAGAGAGACACAGCAAGAGAGGGAACACAAGCAGGGGGAGTGGGAGAGGGAGAAGTAGGCTTCCTGCTGAACAGGGAGCCAGATGTGGGGTGCAATGCCAGGACCCTGGGACCATAATCTGAGCCCAAGCCAGAGGTTTAATGACTGAGCCACCCAGGAGCCCCTCATTGTGCTCTAAAGAATATATATATATATATATAAAAAAAACAAATTTGAAAGTCTAGAGAAAATTGTAAAACCCTTTAGAGACATAAAGTTTGTCTTGGCTTACTTAACAGAACAACTCAAGGGCTAAGAACCTCTAACAATCCCAGGTCCCAACCTGTACATAATATTATTGGGACCACTATCTGAAAAATACTTCTTTATGCTTTGTAACACAACATCTACAAATGTAATACACAAGATCTGTTTCCAAATAGAATTCACTAAGTCTCCTACATATGATTAGATGATAGGTGATGTAGACATTAAAAAACCTATACTGTGTATGATTCAATAAGTTGTCCCTCCTTATGCCCCCCCAAAAAAGGGGGAGAAGAAAAAACTAAGCTCTTAGATTCCTCTGGGCAAAAGAATCCACAGAGACTGACAGATTAATTGGAAGAGAGCCCTGAATCTAGATGGAGTCTTCCTAGGTAATCATAAATCTTTCTTTTTTAAAATATGATAAAGTTATGCTGTGTTCTGGAGATATTAACTTCACAACATGGCACCAGAGTCACTGCCTATTAAATCCTATGCCTTAATTGAGTAGCTAAGATAGCCTTCTTCCCTCAGAGCAATCACAGGCCCTCGGTTAAAGCATTTTCCAAACTTACACTAGGTCTTTTTTTTTTTGAGATTTTATTTATTTTTTGACAGAGAGAGACAGCGAGAGAGGGAACACAAGCAGGCGGAGAGGGAGAAGCAGGCTTCCCATTGAGCAGGGAGCCCGATGCAGGGGCTCCATCCCAGGACCCCAGGACCACGACCTGAGCCCAAGGCAGACGCTTACGACTGAGCCACCCAGGTGCCCCAGATTGGGAGCAATTAACTTATAGTAGGGTTTCAGGAAGGGTTTTATTAAAAAAAAAGAAATGTTTAAAATAAGGTGAGGGGATGGTCAACAAGGGAACAAAGGGAGTCTAGTATAGCAAATGCTTATTTATAGTATTTCAGCCCAGTGCTTGGAATGTTTTAAATGTTTAATAAATTGTGACTGAGTAGGCAATAAAAGTAGTTAAGAGTCTAGAATGCTAAGTTGAAAAATTGTTAATGATTTTTTTTTAAATAAGGAGTCACTACAGATTTAAAAAAAAATCAAAGTACTTACCACAAGATTAGCTATGAGTTGATAATTGAAGCTGGGTGATGAATACGTGAGTGTCCACCTTATTATTCTATTTTTGTATATGTTTGAAACTTTTGATAATATGAAGTGTAGAGGTGCCTAGCTGGCTCGGTTGGACTGAGTGACTCTTGATCTGGGGGTTGTGAGTTCCAGCCCCACATTGGGTGTAGAAATTACTACAAAAATAAGTAAATAAACTTTAAAAAATAATATGAAGTTTAAAAGAACATACTTACCAAAATTATGTGTTTAAGGGATATGTAATACTGGGTTTCTGCTCTTCAAACCATATAATCCAGTTGGGGATGCAAGAACAGCAAGTGAAAAAGCATATGAAAAAGTGTCAAAATCATAAAAAGGAAAAGGAGTGGTCCATGTGGACTCCAGGAATTCATAGAATTTACATGAAAAAAGGTAAAACTGTAAAAGAGTAAAGAAATAGCAGCAAAGCAATTATTTGGATAAAGGTAAAGAATAAGGAAAGAGCTAGACAAGTGGTTCCCAAATGGGAGCAATTTTGCCCTGCAGGGGACATTTGGGAATATCTGGAGACATTTTGTATTGTCACCACTGGGAGTTTGCCATTGTCACTTCATGGGTAGAGGACAGTGATGACGCTAAACATTCTATAAGGCACAGGATAGCACTCCAGGAAAAAAAAAAAAGAAGAAGAAGAAGAAGAATCCAGCCTAAAATGTCAATAGTGCTGCTGCTGAGAAATCCTGAGCTAGACACAAGAAGACTGTTTTTGGCAGGTGGGTTTTTCCCTGAAGTCCTCAGCTTCAGGAGATTCATAAACCCCTTAAAAACGTATGAAAAATTTTGAGCCTGGTCTGGGGAAAGGGTCCATAGCTTTCATCTCATTCTTAAAGGTGTCCATGGCCAGAAGGGTCTTAAGAAGCCCGGGAAAACCAAGGGTTCAGGGACCATGGATGAAAAATCTGATTTCACTCAGAATATTATTGGGAGAGACGGCTGGATCTGTTCTCTGGAGACAGATTATTGTGACCCTTGAAAACCAGGCAGAAATGGCTGTACACCAGCCTGAGGTCTCAGCGGAGCTACTGAAGACCTTTAAGAAGATAATGACAGGACAAAAGCTGTGTCATAACATGATTTGTCTTCAAGTGGCTCCTCTCTGCCAGGTGCCCAAGTTCTCTTCAATCAGGCAAAACAGTATTCTCTCTATGGGCTCTCTCACTCATCCCTCTGTATCTAACCGGGCACCAACCCATGCTAACATTTCCTTCAAAACGAACCTTTCTTCTTCTCTTATCAGAGTTAACACCCTAGTCCAGGCCCAACCCATTTCATTCTTGGAACTGCAAAGCCCTTCTCCCAATGAACCCCTGGCTTATTCACCTTTGCAAACCCAGCACCTAACACATTCTTGGTAGTTGGCAAGCATTCAGTAAGGTATACTCTCAACTGAGGATGGGAAGAGAGAGTCACAAGATTACCCCATATTATGATTAAAACAAATTAGAGTTATCTCTCATTAATCCCATTATGGGGGGGTGCCTCACCTGGAGAGGTTCCTAATTAGGTCCCAGCAGATATGTAGATTGGGGATTAAGGGGAAGGAGTGGTGAAGCAGAAGTAGAGCTTCCCTGCTAGTGTTGGGGTAAATCTGACAAGCTGAGCTTTCAGTGGATAATTCCCCCACCTTCCCCCAACCCTAGTAGGGTAATCAGGAATAATCACCCAGAGAAGAAGGGTATATGAGATGAGTTTGTCCCAAGTCCACGAACTAGTCATTTGCTGATCCAGGCTCATTTCTTGCCACACTGTCCCAGGCTTTAACTTTCCTTAGATACCAAGTTTCTTTTCTTTTCTTTCTTTTTTTTTAAAGTAATTTCTACGCCCAACCTGGGGCTCAAACTCAGGACTAGGAGATCAGGCGTCACATGATCCACTCACTGAACCAGCCAGATACCAAGTTTCTATTATCTTCCTTCACATCTAAACCCTCAACAGGTCTCAAGGTTAAGTCTAAATTGCACATCCTATCTGTTTAAAAATTGTCCCTTTCCTACCTACACATAAGGCTCATTTTCCAGGAACGTTCTTTCTCCCAACTACACACTGAACTACTTTCCACGAACCCTCTTCCGTTCTTCACACTGAGTTCTTCGCTGTCAAAGGAACGAGATTCTTATCAGTTACCGACACTCACACCTTACCTCTGAACTCCAAATGGCTCTTCTTCTGCCACTCACCTTTGCCCACAGAAACCTTCCTTTTCTAACCATTCTCTTCTTACACAGTCAATACAGCTCGATTTAGTACTTAATTTTTCGGATGCTTTCCATCCCATGTGTGTCAGCTTCCCCAGCACACCCACATTCAGAATTAAAGCACGCACCCAGTCTCCACTTGGGAGGACCCCCCAAAAGCAACAGAGGAGGCATCCTAACGCAGCCAAGATTGCCTGGTGAATTTTAATTTGGATCTGTTGAAGTTAAAATCGGCATTGCGACCCCCAACTATTCTTGAGTTGCCCGCTGCGTATGTTTTGTGGTCCACCTGGAAATCCAACGTAACAATGCTTCAAGGCAATGTTTATTTTTTTTTTTTAAGATTTTATTTATTTGATAGAGAGAGACACAGAGAGAGAGAAGGAGCACAAGCAGGGGAGTAGGAGAGGGAGAAGGAGGCTTCCCGCGGAGCAGGGAGCCCTATGCGGGGCTCGATCCCAGGAGTCTGGGATCATGACCTGAGCGGAAGGCAGACGCTTAACGACTGAGCCACCCAGGCGCCCCACAAAACAATGTTTAAACGTGAATATAAGGGAGGGTCGGGAAAATTACTTTTAAAACCGCAGAATCTAACAATCTCTGTAAAATGTTTAATACCCAAAAACCTCGAGAACAGTACGCTGGATCCAAAAAACGAACGGAGTCGGAAAAACCGCTAAGTTACTCAAAATACGCGCAGCAGAGCTCTTTGGCTGGTGGAGCGAACCTGAATAAAGCCTTGGAAAAGTCCCACCCTCCCTCTTCTCGCCAGGCGTGGAGTTCCACTGACTCCACCCCTTCCAAGAACGCTGCCGTATGATTGGCCACGACGCGTCCTGAAGCTGCCTAATCGCGTACGAGCAGCTGCCTTAGCCTCCTTAGCTTGCAGGAGGAACATGGCGGACCGGCTCACACAGCTGCAGGACGCGGTGAACTCGGTGAGCAATTTCGCTCTATTGGTCTCTGTCTTCCCCTTTCCTGAGGTAAAACAAGAGAGGAAAAGGGGCCCGAGAAAAACACCCGTAAGTGGAGAAGCAGACTAAGGCAGGGCTTGGGCAAAAAGCGCTGGTGGCGGCGCGGCGTCCTGGGAGGTTTGAGGCCGGCTGCCGGCTTTGCGGAGAGCTGAGGGAGGGAGCAGCCTCTTTCGCCTGAAAAGTAGAGGATCTCTGTCAGGACACTTAGGCGTCACGGTCCTGTCCTGTTGTCTGGGAACATTTTTATCTTATTGTCAGTAGTGCTTATGGGATCGTTTCTCTGTCGGGGGTAAGGGGAGAAGAAGCGGAAGCTTCTTTTTCCCTTATCAGTGTTAAAGACGTGGAAGAGAAACTGGGCTCTTGATGATTGGAGCTTTTTCGTTAAATGTCAGCCGAGGGTATTCCTTCCCCTGGACTTTCAGGTTGAGGTTAGAGTGATGGTGAGGTGAGAAGTTTTGTTTCATCTTAGTTGGTTCCTATAGACAAAGGGTTTCGTTCCGTCTCTTGGCGCTCTCTAGCATAAATCAGTTTGGGGAAAACTGACATCTTTATGAGAGTGAATCTTCTAATCCTTGTGCATGTTCCCATTTATTTAAGTCGTCTTTAATGTGTCTCAAAAAGTCTATTTCCTGTTAAGGGCCCCCTTACTTTGATCCTTCTTATTATTTTTCCTTTTATGCCTAACTGGAAAGTATACGCAAACCAAAGGATTCATATAATCATTACCATTAACAGTTAAAGAGTTTCCCATTAGTAGTTACATTTCTCATTGGCATTCTATTTATAATTTGATGTCCCAGGCAAAAGGTATAGAGAGAATATGTTGACTGGAAAATCTTAAGTATCTGGTTCCTTGCCAATTTTTTCACACTGGAGGCTAAGAAGTTAGGATTCTTATTGTTGCATCAATCTTTGTTCACTTCAAGGTATGAATCTACTTGTGAAAAACTGATCTACTCTGTAAATAAGACCTTTTAGGACTGACAGAGGGCTAGCCCCTAAATGTTGATGAATTCACTAAGATAAATTCTACTTTATGGTGACTTGCCTGGGCTGCCAGCCAACTTCCCTCTGGGAGATATTCCTTTGAGGCTTTTCAGAATCAAATTGTAATGATGCTGCTGGGTAGAAATGTTATTTTAGGAGAAATGTTGCATATTCACACATGTCTTGTAACCAGAAAGATAGTAGGAGAAAGTGAACATGGCCTTAACTCCAGGGTAAGCATGCTGATAATTGGATTTTGGAGAGAAACCTCTAGGTTAACTAGTATGAATGCCTACTGTGTGTGTAAGCACTATCATGTTTACAGAGAAATACTCCTTAAGGAGTTCACAGTCTCATTAGAAAGATGTCATATACTCAAGAGACATTTAAATAATGTAAAAGTACTATTTGGTTAGGTAGTTTTAATGAATCAAGTGTCTTCAACTGTAAGTGCTGAGATAAATTGGAATATAGAGTGATAAGAATTAAAATAGAGGAAATCTTAGCATTGATCTGAATTATAATTATTTGTAAAAGTATTAAAATAACATTTGTTTTACCCTCTTGAGAACTCCATGAGGGCAGAAACTATGTCTTATACACTGTATCGCTATGTTTATATACAATGCTTGTCATAGAGTTTTATTTTTGGTAAGTATTTGTTGAATAAATGGATTTTGAGAGCTTTTGAAGAACACAACTGATAGCCGCAGTGTTGAGTATTTGTGCATGTGTGTTTTCTCTATTCCTCAAAACAATGGTGTAATGTGAAAGTGTTCCCAATTTAAAAATGAAAAACCCTGCTCAGGTTACTAGAACCAGAATTGGAATCCACATTTGTACAGCTTCAGAGCACTTACTACTGCTCCATTACAAGTAGCAAAATGTGAACAACACAGTATAGTCAGGAATGAATTTATCACTAGTTAGGTATATATGAAGGATTAGTAGAAAATGAATAAGTAGAGTTGAGTTAGATTATTGAAAGCTTTGAAATAGCCTGAAGAGTTGGAGATTAATCTCAAAGGCCAAGTTGGAGCGAGCTCAAATTTTTTTTTAAAGGTTTATTTATTTGAGAGAGAGAGAGAGGGTGCACACAAGCGGGAGGGGCAGAGGGAGAGGGAGAGAATCTTGAGCAGATTCTGCACACAGCCCAACACAGGGCTTGGTCCCACAACCCTGAGATAACTACCTGAGCCGAAACCAAGAGTTGGACACCACCAACTGTGCCACCCAGGCGCCCCTGAGCTCAAAATTTTTTTAAGCAGGGTAAAATAACAGTGAACTAGAAAACAATAAGGAGGCTGTTGTAATAATTACATTGTGAGATAATTGAACTAACACAGTGGCAATGACGATAGAAGGAAAAAGGAAAAGAAGGATTTGAATATGAAAGGAAAGTGAGTGAAGTTGGACTGGCTAATAACTAGGAGATTCTGAATACAAATTAGATAGTAAACAAAGGAAACAGTTGATTTTGAGTTCTGTCATTTAAATAATGGCAGAGAAACTTAGTGGAAATGGTCATTCACTGATTTGAGGAAGTGAGGTTCAAGAGATCAGGACTCTGGAGGGAAGCTGGTTGGGAGGATAGGAGTCTTAAGTCTGCTGATTGTAAGGAATTGGTATTCTCGGTCTTCAGAACTGCTTAAGGAATACTTTTAGAGCAGTGGGAATTTACAACTTGAGTCATGGAGAAAAACATTTCCAAATACTTGAGGTGGAGTCCTTTTTTTTTTTTTAATTGAGGTATAATTGAGATAGAACATTAGTTTCAGGTGTACCACATAATGATTCAGTATTTGTGTATATTGTGAAACGATCACAAGAAGTCTAGTTAATATGTCACCATACTGTAGTTACAAAGTTAAAATATTTTTCTTTTGATGAGACCTTCTAAGATTTACTCTTAGCAACTTTCAAAAATACAGCACAGTATTAACTGTAGTCACCATACTGTACATTATATCCCCATGACTTACTTATTTTATAACTGAAAGGTTGTACTTTTTGACCCCCTTCACCCTTTTTGCCCACCTTAACCCCACCTCACCTCTGATAACCACTAGTCTGTCCTCTGTGTGTGAGCTCAGTTTTTGTTTTGTTTAGATTCCACATATAGGTAACATCACGTAGTATTTGTCTTTCTCTGACTTATTTCATTTAGCATAATGCCCACAAATGGCAAGATTTGTCACATTCATGTCACAAATGGCAAGATTTCCCTCCCCCTTTTTTTAATGGCTGAATAATGTTCCTGTGTGTGTGTGTGTGTGTGTGTGTGTGTGTGTGTACCACAGTTTCTTTATTCATTCATCCATCAATGGCCTTTTTAAAGATTGTATGTATTTATTCATGAGAGACAGAGAGAGAGAGAGGCGGAGGGAGAAGCAGGCTCCCCGCGGAGCAGGGAGCCTGATGCGGGACTGGATCCTGGCCTTAAGACTTCTTAAGGTGGAGTCTTTTCCACGCTGTTTCTTTATACTTGTAACTACTTTAGTCTCAAAAAAAAAAAAAAAGGACAGTGTACTTTGTATATGAGTTACACATTTTAAAATTTATCCTAGGGCCATACTTTTATTGGCCAGTCATATTTGCTCTTTCCTACCCCCCCCCCCCCCCAGAAAATCCTTACTTATGCTTGTAACAAATACTGGCATATATTTCTCTTATCATTCTATTACCTTGGGAAGAAAACAAAGATTATCTTGTATTTCCTTTTAACTGTTTCAAGTATGTTGATACCAAACCTCATTTCTTTGCATGATTAAAACATTTAATCATTGTTAATAATAATTGGCTAATTTTATCCAAAATTATTCCTGTTCTATTCCCTTGCTCAGAGATCATTATTATAGAAACTTATTTTTGTTGCTATTACTGATAAAATCCTGAAAACTGATAAATCCTTTCTAACTCTGACATGTTTTCTTCGGCCTCAAGCTTGCAGATCAGTTTTGTAATGCCATTGGAGTGTTGCAGCAGTGTGGTCCTCCTGCTTCTTTTAGTAATATTCAGACAGCAATTAACAAAGATCAGCCCGCTAATCCTACAGAAGGTAAATAGATTTTCTTGGCTTCTCTTAGTTTGACCATCATATATATTACTTGTAATCCTTTAAAATTAAATTTATTGAGAAATGTAGCTTACTTATGGCTTTCTTACAGTTTTGTTGTTTGAGAATATTACTGCAAGTTTTGTTATAAAAGAAATGAATTTGTTACAGTCAATTTACATAACATCTCATAATTCCATTCATGTCAGATAACAGATTGTTACTCCTTTAGAGATGAATTTGTATGAATTTAGCTGAATTTCACTTGAGGGACCTTAATAAGGAAGTCATCCCATTTACAGATTTCTTTATTCGATTGACTGGCATATTGTCCTAAAAAATGAAATAATTATGTTTACTTCCCAATTTGAGTTAATAGTAAGGCTAATTCTCAAGCATGTAATAGGATTGGTGTGTTAAAATTACATTTTAATCATTCAAAGCCTAGTACAGAAAAAGTTTATGAACTTTCCCGGTTTCATTAGCTTCAAATTTAACTTCTTTTTCTGAAAACTTGACATTTCCTAATACTCTGAATGAGTGATATCTTTCCTTAGAATATGCCCAGCTTTTTGCAGCACTGATTGCACGAACAGCAAAAGACATTGATGTTTTGATAGATTCATTACCCAGTGAAGAATCTACAGCTGCTTTACAGGTAAAATCTTTTTTCCTTTGAGAAATTTGCTAGTAGAGAATTTTGATTAAAGGAGATAGATTTTTTTTTTTAATAATTTCTACCCCCAACATGGGGCTTAAACTCATGATCCCAAGATTAAGAGTCACACGCTCCTCTGACTGAGCCAGCTAGGTGCCCCAAAGGAGATTTAATACCTTTTGTTATGGTATTCAAAGTTTCATTATGATTAAGTTTTATTTATTTACTTATTTATTTTAAAGATTTTATTTTTAAGTAATGTCTACACCCAACATGGGGCTCAAACTCAAAACCCCCAGATCAAGAGTCGCATGCTCCACTGACTGAGCCAGCCAGGTGCCCCAAGATTAAATTTTAAAATTGAAGTTTTGTTAATTGTACTCTAGTCTATTAAAGACCATGCTGTGTATATATGGTTGTCCAATTTTGAGCTATAAGGAAACTTCTATTTTTCTCAGTTTGGCTCTTTTCCTAGCAAAGAATGAGAGGAGGGTGGTATTCTGGGTGTGGAGTAGAATAGTAGCGTCCAAAAGCAGTGTGGAGGAGAGTCACATGTAGACATCCAGAGATCTCTAACTGAAAATTCATTCTTTTAAATAATTCATACAGGGAAAACTCTTAAAAGTTATCTGATTTTAGAATTTCTGACACAGAAATCTATTGTAATGGTTTGAGAGTCATCCAGATTTAGAAATAAATACTTCTATAGTTTTTTTTCTTCTCAACTCTTACTAATCTCCAAGTTTTTCATTTCTCAAAAGATTTTTTAATTTGTGTCTTACAAAGGCTGCTAGCTTGTATAAGCTGGAAGAAGAAAACCACGAAGCTGCTACATGTCTGGAGGATGTTGTTTATCGAGGGGACATGCTTCTGGAAAAGATACAAAGTGCACTTGCTGATATTGCACAGTCACAGCTGAAGACAAGGAGTGGTACCCATAGCCAGTCTCTTCCAGACTCATAGTACCAGTATATACCATGTGGCTGAGAAAACTATTTCAGTGCCATTGAGAATTCTGCATCAAGTTTAGATGTAAGCCTTACCAACAGTTACAGAAACATTAAGCACTATGACACATGTTACCTTTTTAGCTATTTTTAATAGTCTTCTATTTTCACTCTTGATAAGTAGGCCTCTAAAATTGTGATTGAACCAGCTTTAAACCATCATTATACCATCATTTTTTATTATCAAAATGAGGCAAATGTTGCATTAATGGTTATAATATAATTAAACAGATGTACTTTAAAATTCTGTTGTGACATTTCTATCTTTATTTTATCAAATTTCTACAGTCTTTTTTGTAAATCAAAACATCCCTCAAGCCAGAGGAGAGATGGTAAGTGTAGAGATATGGGACATTTCAATTTAGGCTGGTGTCCTTCTGCCTCTTCAGAGGTGACATTATATACGTTTGGAGCTTGAGCAAGGAAAGTTTCTGAAACCATGTTGCTTTTGAGAAACAGAGGATTATGGGGTACCTGGGTAGCTCAGTCAGTTAGGTGTCTGACTTCAGGTTGTGTTCCTGGGGATCACATGATCCCTGCTCAGCTGGGAGCCTGCTTCTCTCTCTCCCTCTGCCTGTCACTGCCCCTGGTTGTGTGCTCTCTTTCTCTTTTTCTTTCTGTCTGTGTCAAATAAATAAATAAAATCTTTAAAAAAAGAAAAAGAAACAGAGGGCTAGTGTAGCTGGATGAGAGATAAGATCACTTTTCTGGAAACATTCCTCTTTTTCCAGAACCTCATACCCATGCTACTTCATCTCCACATGTGTTTCTACTAAGAAATCATCTTCTCTATCTGTAGAATTCCTGTGCTATTTTGAGAGGATTTTTCTTCATCCTGAACTATCCTTTCCCATATCTTTTGACCTGCTTTTTTCATTCTTCTTCATTTGCCTTGTGAAGTATGTTCTGAGAGTCATCGATTCCTTCTCATCCTTTTTATTTATCTGAAGTTTCTGTCTTCTGATTTGTTAACCTTTGAATCTTTATTCCTGCATTCTAATCTGACCAGAACATAATTCAACATCAGTTACTTTAATTCATTTTCTACATTCCACCTTATTTTGTTACTGCTAACATTTGTGTCAGTATTCTCAAGTATGATTGTGTGTGTACTCAACTCTTCTCTTTGAATCCTCTGATTATTTCCACAAGAATGCTGGAGTTGAAATGTATTCTACATTGTAACTACTTCTGTCTCCTGAATATCCTGAGCTACATTTCCTATGATCTGTTACTACTATCCGGAGTTTAAAGATTTTGGAGTTTAAGAAAGTGCAAGAACAATAGTCTGAGATTCTGCCCGTTATTCCCATCATAATCAAGCTCTTCCACAGTTCTAAAAAAATACTGCTTAGGGGCACATTTTAACTCCAGAATACAATTTATATAGAGTCATTAATTTTTCAAGTAATATTAAATGTTATCTATACTAATAGATACTTAAGATGTTGGCTTATTCTATCTGGCATCACTTAAAATGCGTTTTATTTGTTTAAGATTTTTTTATTTTTAATTTTTTAGGCTTGAGCTCACAACCCTGAAATCAAGAGTCACATGCTCTACCGACTGAGCCAGCCAGGCACCCCATGAGTAATCATGCTTTCTTTTTTACATTTTGTTTTATTTAAGTAATCTCTACACTTAACACTAGGCTTGAACTCACAACCTCAAAATCAAGAGGCACACAAGTCCTCTGACTGAGACAGGTACCCGTTTAAAATGAATTTTATTTTTATTTTTTTTAAAAGATCTTATTTATTTATTTGAGAGCGAGAGAGTGAGTGAGAGAGAGCACAAGCCAGGAGTGGGGAGGGGGGAGAGGCAGAGGGAGAAGCAGACTCTGAGCAGGGAGCCTGCCACAGGGCTTCATCCCAGGACTCTGGGATCATGACCTGAGCAGAAGGCAGATGTTTAACTGACTGAGCCACCCAAGCGCCCCATAAAATGAATTTTATTTTTAAATACTAGCATGAGATAGAAGATAACTCACAAAAGAAAGTAATATTCAAAGTACTGAGCAATACAATTAGCCCCAAGAGAGAAGTACAAAAAGTTTATAGCCTTAAGCTGGTAGACTACCGTTATCCTTACCTGAGATTATTTTATATTTGAAATTGCCTGTTGTTTCCTAGTTTAAGGTGTTATAGAAAAAGGACAATACACATTCTGAAATATTCATAAAGATTATATAACATAATTCATAAAGACTGTATATAACAGCTTCTCTTAGCCATCATTTTGTGGACATGGCTGTTGGATGAGGAAGTCCTAAAAGCTGAAATGGATGTATGGGCAGTGATGGTTTTGCTACCTGGTACACGGCTTTGGGAGGACAGAAAACAATGGATGTCTGTGTCTTTCATCTCCTGATTCCTCCCTCCCTTCCCTTCTACCCAGATCTAAGTTGTTTTAAGGAGAAACCTCATTAAAGATGGGGCTATGGTCTCTCTCTTCCCAAAGGACCATAGACTCTATATCCCTGTTGGAATTTTCTGGAGGATTAAGGAAAGAAGGGACACAACCCTTCATGGCTTTGTTGGATGTGGGTGCCCAAGTGACTGTCATACTTGGTCTAGTGGGGAGAAGGGACAGGCAAATTCAACTTTGGGTCTAGGCAAAGTAACCAGTGAGGACATTAAATATAACTTTATTGCTAAATATAACTTCGAGGCGGAGCTGGTAATACTGTGGTTATGGGTTCTACTGTGAATGTATTATTGGAATAGACATCCTGTACACTTCCTGTAATTCCTATAATTCCTCACACAAATGCCAGAGATGATACTCCCATTTAGGATATGCTAAAGGTAGAGAGGTAGTCGTGTGACGTGTAAAACAATCCCCAACCCATCTATCTCTCTGTCCTTTGTCCTTTTGCACTTCATAAAGTGCCTGGCAACTGACAACACTGTGCTCCTGGAAAACAGTTAAGGTCCTCCATCCTACTGTATTCCTGGCAATGGCTTACTGCAGAGAACCACCTTTCCCTGTATGACTTTGTTCTCATGTGACGAAGCTAGACCTAGACCTCCAAATTCCCATTCTTTGTCTCATAAATGGTTAGTTGAACTGTTTGTCCCTACAGACCAATCTGGACAAAATGCCCTAAAATGACCTGATCAGACTTTAGGCTTCTCCCCTCACAAACCCCTGAATTTTAATCCACCCTCAGTCTGAACCTGCACTGGAATGTGGAATAGTATCTCCTCAGTGACACCGCCTGAAAATTAACTGACCACTAAAAAAGACTTTTACCAATCAACTGTCCCATTATATCACCTGCTCATCTCCTTCACACTCGGATTTTTCTATCATTGTTTACATATTCTTTTCTATTAAAGTTCTTTTCCACCTGATCTTTGAGACAGTTGGAGATCTTATGGTCAGAGTGTTCTCATTGCCACAATATTTTCCAATAAAGTTTTTCTGTACCTAAGTCTGGATCTGTTTTTACTTGATACCACTTGTATAGGAAAAACAACCTCATCTTTCTCATCACATACCCCCAGGGGCTAAAGCTGGGGCAAAGTGGGCTGAGGCACTCATTCATTGTGAAGTAATAAATCTCTCAGAACATCTTATGTATACATTTAGGATAAAATTCATAAGGAAAATATTAATAGTAAATACTAAAAACCCAACCTTAAGAAGTGTAAATAACTCAGGGATGAAAGAAGAAATTACAATGGAGATTAGGACATAATTCAGAACTTAATGAAAATATTATGCATAGAAATGTGGGGAATGCAAAGGAGGCGAACTTGCAGCATAATAAATCATTAGTCAAGATGTCTTCAGCGTCTGAGCCTCCCAGCTTTAAAAAGAAACCACCCAAAGAGACAGACTTTCGAAACTCAAGGCTCAGAGGTCCATAAAACAACCTTATTTTGAGTTGTGAATCCAGAGCTCTTCATTAATCCTAACAAACCTGTAATGGCTTTTGGATTCACGTAGCTTACATTGGTTATCTACATCCAGCACAAGAGAATACAAAGAACCTCTCTGGAGCTATTGATAGTGAGGGACACATCTATGAGGAGGAAAACATGGATTAATAGTGCTTCGTACTGCAGTGGAACTTTTTTTTTTTTAGGATTTTTTTTATTGTTATCTTAATCACCATACATTACATCATTAGTTTTTGATGTAGTGTTCCATGATTCATTGTTTGTGCATAACACCCAGCGCTCCACGCAGAACGTGCCGTCTTTAATACCCATCACCAGGCTAACCCATTCCCCCACCCCCTGCAGTGGAACTTTTTTGAGGGCTCTGAAATCTTCAGATGAAAGACAGTGTGCAGTGTCATGCTTCTTGTTCTAGAATACGTTGATGAGGAAAGAAGGTAGCAGTTGCAACCAGGCCACTAGAGTAAATTTCATCCTTGCAGAGCTGCAGCCCTTGCCCCACTCTCCACAAGAGCTTCTCAGTATTTTTCTTAGGTCCTTGCATAAACGTGCCATGAGAATGGAAGTCTTTTTTGTTAATTATTAAGTTCTATATAATAAAAGAATCCAGTGCTGTTAAAACAAAAAAACTTGTGGCATTCTTCTAAGCATTTAGGAGAAAATGCAAGTATTACCTTCCTTATACTAGGGAAAAAGGCTGATAATTCATGAGCTAAGCTTCCAATTGAAAGAAGGAAGGAAATAATGAAAGCAGCAGAAGAAATAAAACAACCATACCATGAGAAAATAAGGAAAGCCCAAAGTCAGGCTTGAAAAAGTAATGAAATTGACAGCTTAGGCAAGTTTGGTCAAGGAAAAAAAATGATGTAAATAAACAATATGAAGAGTTAAAAAGTCACATACATTGATTTTTAAAATACTTTTTAAACAAAGATTTTATTTATTAGAGAGGGCGCACATGAACCTGCACAAGCAGGGGGTAGGGGCAAAGGGAGAGGGAGAAGCAGACTCCCCAGAGAACAGGGAGCCCAAGGTAGGACTCAGTTCCAGGACCCAGAGGTGACCCGAGCTGAAGGCAGACGCTTAACTGAGCCACTATGGCGCCTGCACTGATTTTAAAATATTGAGAAAATTTGAGTAATGTTATGCCAATAAATTTGAAAATTTTTGATAAATAGGGCATATTCCTAGACAAAAATAATGTAGCAAATAGGCTCAAGGAGATATATAAATCATGGTCATATAATCTTTATAAAATTTTAGTCAAAAGTCTTCACAAATAAAGCACTAAGTCTAGAGATTAGTTTTCTTAAACATTCAGAAAAATTCTAATTTC